GTGCATATCTAGAGTGATGAAGCTGGAGATAAACAAACATAAAATATGATGACCTTTTCTTTATCAATGCACTGCTGGAGGTTCCTGTTTCCCTGATTATTCAATCAAAGATTTAAGTGAAATGATGTAAATCAGTCCCCTTATTTGTTGTTAAAGATTAAAGATGGGTGAAATGAAAGAGATGTGTTTGGGCAATTTAACATCTCCATTAACCATTGAGACTTGAATTGGTTTTTACTGGTGAACAATATTGTTTTCAGGAGAATGGCTGATGGGATAGAAAAATCTATACCAGATAGCAAAGAGTTCTCACACGTCGTGTGAAACAAAACGAGAGTGGGTAAGCCAAAGCCATTTTTCTAACGCTTTTATGCTCAGAAACAACATCGCTAATAAACTCCTGAATTCCTAGTCAGCCTCTCAGTGGCTAGAAAAGTCCAAAGGGACAGATCTGAGCAAACGGGGATACTATCAAGTTACATCACCCGGATGTGTCCATACTAGAAAGTTTGGTATTTGCGTAGGTTTAGGATTCCTTTAAAAACTACAGTTTTATAAGTGAGGACGCTGAGGTAGAGAGGAGGTGAAACACCCTGAAACTTGATGCAGGAAATAACCTAGTTTTTTGACCCTCAGGTCAGTAATTTTATTACCACATCCAATATTTCCCTGTTTGTAAATTTAAAACCTTCTAACGCCCTCGCTGTTCTATAGGATCGCTATGAGTCAAAATCGACTCGGCAGCAATGGGTTTGGTTTTGGATTTTCAGGCTCTGACAAGCCCTGGTGGTGCAGTGGTTAAAGCACTCCGCTGTTAACTGAAAAGTCGGCAGCTTGAACTCCACGGGAGAAGGACATGGCAGTCTGTTTCTGTAAAGATTACAGCCTTGGAAACCCTATGGGGACAGTTCTACTCTGTCCTATAGGGTCTCTATGAGTCAGAATTGATGCGACAGTAGTGGATTTTGGTTTTAAGATCCGGACAGTACTTCTTGGGTGGTGTAAATGGTTAACGTGCTTGGCTGCTAAGAAGTCCACCCAGAGGTTCCTCCAAAGAAAGGTCTAGTGATCTACTTCTCAAATATCAGCCATTGAAAATCTTACGGAGAACAGTTCTACTCTGACACACATGGGGTAGCCATGAGTCGGAATCGACTCCAGGGCAACTGGTTATGGTTAAGATTCTGACAGTGGATACGACAACTTGAAAAAAACACTGTTTCTTTCTATAAATCTGAAACAAAACTTGTATCCCTTCTATCCCTTTCTGTTGTGTCCCCGCAGAAGAGGAAAACGGAGGTAGCAATGAGATAAATAAGTGATATGTAGGGTTTGAAAATTTCTAAAGTTTTACAGAATTATAGAACATACATTTAAAAATTTTATTTTTTTTAAAATAAATATCACGTGACCCTATATTTCTATTGCTGCTGTGACAAATGCTCACAAACTTTGTGACTTGAAACAAAGCAAATTTATTTTCTTAAAATTATGTTAGTCAGAAATATGATGGAGACCCTATAGGACAGAGTAGAACTGCCCCACAGAGTTTCCAAGGAGAGGCTGGTGGATTTGAACTGCCGGTAAACAGCTGAGCTCTTAACTACTGCACCTAGGGCTCTGACGCGGGTCTTAGTGGGCTAAAATCAAGGTGTTGGCAAGGTTGTGTTCCTTTCTGGAGGCTCTAGTGGAGAACGTTTCCTTTTCTTTCCAGCTGCTGGAGGCTGTCCACATTTCACCGCCTCCCCCACCTTCAAAACCAGCAACAGTGGGTGGAGCCCTTTTCACATCCCGTCACTCTGACCTCCGTTCTGTGGTCCTATCTCCTTCTCTAACTCTGATTCCGACTCTCTTTACTTTTAAAGACCCTTGTGATTACACTGTGACCACCCAGATAATTAATGATCTACCCATCTCAAAGTCCTTGACTGAATTGCATATGCAAATCATTTCTGCCATGGGAGATTTCTGGGATGATCAGGATGTGGCCATCTTTGAGGGGGAAGCATTATTCTGCCTACTACAGATCTCTTTACGGAAAATTTATTGAGTTAAGAAGAAAAAACAAAAACAAGCAAAACCCCAAAACTCATAACCTTACATCTTCAAATAGAACTATTGCTCGTATGTTTGTTCCACCTCCCTAGAAATTTCCCTCATTACCCTTTACAATCAGTTGCAGGCCCCATCACCACTCCAGCCCATCACTGTTCGGATGTTTATTGCCACACATTTATTGTGTCACTCCTTTATATCATGGGACTATATGGCATAGTCTCCTTTGTGTTTGGCTTCTTTCGCTCTATCTAATGTTTTTGAGATTCACCTATTTTGTTGTATGTATAAATAGTTTGTTCCTTTTTTATTACTGAGTAATTTCCATTGCATTTTATGAATATAGCACAATTTATCCCTTCTCCTCTTGGTTTAAAATAAGCACTTTTGATACTAATTTTTAACCAAACACCAAAATAAATTTATGTTGTATTCAGGAATTAAATAGTTAAAAAAATCTCTTACCACAGGGGAAAATACTAGAAAAAATGTAATCAAATATTACTTTTTAAAGTTACATGCTATTATAAATAAACAAGGAAAGCCAAATAGATTTGTGAACATAAAATTAAAATTCTCATTACGACAAAACACATTAGAAATTAAAGACGTTGGCATATGATAAACGACAGAAAGGGGGATATATATTTTTATTTATGTAAAGTACGCACAAATCCAGAAGAAAACATTTAATATTTTAATAGGTCAAAGGACAATGATGCAAAATGTCAGTTTGTTGAAGAGAAAACTGTAACGACTATACGAAAAGAGTTAAAACGCACAAGTAATATGTACCAGGCACTGTACTAGGAGCTTGGAGTAGAAAGATGCTAAGAAAACAATCTCTATTCTCACGGAGTTCACGGTAATTTTTAACTGTCACATGCATATGAAGCCAATAAAATTCTCAAATATTTTTGGAGAAAAGGAGACAAGTAAGCTTTTTCTGTTGGAAAAAAATGATCTGAGTTGAGTTTCATACGATCAAAACTTTATGGTATATGGGAAAGACAGATTTATAAATTCTTTAGTTAAAAATTCTTTAGCTGTATAAGGGATGAATGAGTTTGAAACAGAGCTTACAAATACCTTGTTGGTAAGGGAAAAAACAAACAAACAAAAACAGCTAGATGTCTGAGCAGGACCTATTAGGTTTTTCAGAAAATCATGTAGAATGTTTGAGTACGTTTGCTCTATCATGTTACAGGAGCCCTGGTGGTGCAGTGGTTAAGAGCTACAGCAGCTAACCAAAAGGCTGACAATTTGAATCCACCCAGCTGTTCCTTGGAAACCCTATGGGGCAGTTCTTCTCTGTCCTATAGGATTGCTGTGAGTCAGAATCGACTCGATGGCAAGGGATTTGGATTTTTTTTTTTATCATGTTACCGACTCACATCTCCAATCCAAGAAACTATCTCCATGTTCCTTTCCAGTTGATTTAGTGACTGGCTTCACTAAGCCTTGTTAGAAAGTCTCCATTTGGAAATTGGGATTTCTGTTTGTATATTTTCATGGAATCTTGACAACGTGAATTGTGTTAGAAATTCTAGCACTAGATGAAGAAATAATTAGTATGCAGAATCTGAAAGGAAAACAGACCTTGCTAACAATCCTCAGAGGAGAGTTAGGATATGTGAGCTGAGTACTCCAAGCCAAAAGAAGAGAGGAAGAATTTCATTTAATCAGATTGGTTTTAAGCATTTCATTTTCTCTCCTAAAAAGTCCTCATAGTATTTTAAACGGACACCTATTCTTTTGTTTTCTTTCTCTTTTTCTGGGAGTAGAAAACAGAACATTCTTTTGTATTTTTTAATAACCCCAGTTCTTTTAAATCTTTTAAATATCAAGGTATAAGTCATTTTGTTGTTGTTGTATAAGTCATAAATATAAAAATTTAGAGCAATAGTATAATAAGTATACTTGTTATACTGGATACTTGTAAAAAATGCAAATTCACACTTTGAAGTCCCAGGGATATTAGTTCTTTGCTGGAAACTCAAGAATGTGCATTTTTCTCACCGGTAAAAATGGAGGTCATTGGTTTAAGCAGTCTGTTACTTTACAGCCCTGCAACAGAGAACATTATAGACTGGAGACAGACTCAAAGGGCAGCGACGAATTCTTTTTAACTAGTTCATTAAAACATAATGAATATCCGCAACGTGACATATCACACACTTAAATATATTATTAAAAATTGTAAATGTTAATAGTAACTACCAATTAGTGTTTGTTAGACTCTCTTAAAGTTTTTATTTTGAATATACACATCTGCTTTCTTCCATTAGGATAATTACTGAGATAGATTATAACTGTTCTAGATCAGTACAAAAAAACTGTAAATGGCTGTAAGATGAAAGAAGCCAGACACCCAATGGTACACACGGCATGATTCAATCTCCGTGAGATTCTAGATGAGGCGAGTTGGTCTAGAGTGGCAGGAGACAGATCACTGGTGGCTTGGGGCAGGAGGTTGGGGGCTAACTGCAAAAGAACACCAAGGGGCTTTTTGAGGTAATGGAAATGTTCTCTATCTATTACATGAGTGTGTATATTTGCTGACTGTTCACTTAAAAGGCTGAATTTTAGCATATGTCAATATTGCCTCATTATAGTTGATTAAAACAGTCTGTAAAGTATTGGTAATTTTTTTAAATGACACATTTCTGAAACAGTGATAAAATCTTTGTCCTTGTGTGTGTGTTGAAATTTTAAAAGGTATCTAAAGTACCAAAGAGGAAAATAACATTTACCACATCCTCTCCAAACCGAAATCCAAACCCACTGCCGTCGAGTGGGTTCCGACTCATAGCAACACTACAGGACAGGGTCGAACTGCTCCGTAGGGTTTCCAAGGTTGTAAATCTTTACGGAACCAACTGCCACATCCTTCTCCCACGGAGTGGCTGGGGGGTTCGAACCACCGACCTTTTGGTTAGCAGCCGAGCACTTAACCATTGCACCACCAGAGCTCCTTATATTCTCTCTACCCGGACTCAATCACGTTAACATTTGGACATACAGATGCTTCTGTGCTTTCTTCTGTTGATTCTCTAACATACATTGAAGAACACATATACAAACTCATTGCCTCTAAAATTGGAACATTACCAGTAATGATACAGTTCACCTCGACCCCAGCATTACCATTCTGATCCCATTCGCCCTCACCAGAAATAACTGCTGTTAAGGGTTTCGTCTCTACTTTTTAAATCTTTTACATATGTATACATTTATAGAAAATAGGCTTTACTTTGGTTTTTTAAATTTGCTCAAATGGCATCATGCTGTGCACCAACTTGCTTTTTTCGCTCAATCTGCTTCTCAGCTCTATCAATATTGATACACATAGGTCTAGCAGTTAGCAACTCTAAGTAAAAATAAATCAGTACAACAGGAATAAAGGAGAATGGCAGTTCAGGGAAAATGCTATTCTATTAATATTTTAAGACTCATTAGAATTTTGGGTTCCTACAGTAGAAAATTCCCCTAAACTGGATGCCATCCTGTTGGGTAGCTGTCTTTCGACTTGGAAGCTGACTAGACAGCAACTCATAACTTCTTGGCTTAGCGCTCTGTGTGCACAAGGTGTCAGGATCTGTCTGAGCCGTACAAGGCTGCCATTTCAGAGAGTGCTGACACAGAAAGCCAGGTCAGAAAAAGTTAGATAAACACAAGAATTTGACTGTGATCGACAATATACAAAAATAAAACCTCCAGACTTCAAGAGAGATAGCCACCACTTCTGCAGGTGACCCAAGACAATTATCCATTCAGACTAACCTCTAAAATAAGTGGTTTGTTTGGTAATCATTCAGGAAGAGTTTAGTTTTTCCACACTGCTCTTACTAACAACATGGGCATTGTCTGGCAGGAGAAGGTATATAGTGGTGATAAGATTTTTAAAATTTTTCTTCTGCAGCTGCTTTATTTCACATCTAAAAATTTGCATGTAAATTGGCAATATCGATGCAAAAATAATTAAAAAGTATCCAATAAAAAAACTCTAAAAATATGTTCTGATGAGAAAAATAGCTTTTGTATCATCACGTCAGTTTATTCAAATCTTATCAGAATGATGACATTTGAAATTAAAATGAGTTTTTATAAGATGTGACAATCGAATATTTTATATCAGCAAGTCAACAACTAAACCAGGACTCCAGTATCATTCTTTTAAATGTATTCACAGAAGAAGAAGTATAATTGTTTAGATTGGGAGGGATGCATAAAGGCAATAGTTCTTAACAAGGTATTCTCCGATGTACAGACACGTTTGCTCTCTCAAAAAACACGTAATAATAATAGCTGACAATTTTATATAATGTTTGTTAGACTCTCTTGAATACACTTTACAGATTTTAACTAATTTGAACCTTACAGTAACCATGTAATGTAGGTATTACCATCATTGCCATTTTACAGGTGAGAAGTCTGATACAGGGAGTTCACGAACTTGTCCAAAGTCACACAAGTAAGATGAGACTGAGGTGGGACTTGATCTCATGCCGGCTGGCTTCAAAGCCCACGTGCTTCAGCAGAATGCCGCCGTGTCTCTGCTGCGCTCTGAAGTGGGAATGTGTAAAACTTATATTTGACCAGAAGTTCCCACCAGAAGCAACTAGAAAATGGAAACCTTCGTGATAGACGTTGTACCAGTATTTCCATTTCTGTTTTCATAAAGAAAACCAGAGTGTCTGTCGTTTTTCTTTGCCTAGTAGACACAGCTATTTAACATGGAAAGAAAGCAGGTAAACTACCAGTTAGAACAGGGTTTTTAGGAAAGAGTATATTTCAGTGGAAAAAAAACACAACAATAAATTATACATTCAAAGGAGTGTTAGTCCCTTTAAAATTTCTCACTCTGCTAAGCTAGAACTTCGCTTCAATCATACTATAATGTTCTCCAAAATTTGGAATAGTGTATGTATGCATACGTATGTGTATGTGTGTATATATGTATGAGTATATATATATACACACACACAAGTATGCATGTATATGTATTATACACATATCCTCAATAATGAAAAATTTTTGTTCTTTGGGGATGGATTTTATCTGGAGATAGAAACAGTTCATGCTAACATGGGTGGATGAGGTAGAGCTGGGGCAATACTAATTTAAGGAAAAATATTTTTCCTGAAAATAGTGAAATACCTGTTTTAACATTCAGCTACCAAGTGGGACATTTTCTTATTTAGCAAGGATCGAGATGTCTTTGGATTCTAATTCCATTACAAGGTAAGTCTTCCCCTACCCCTCAGGTCTTTCTGTCTCTCTTGATTAATGAGGGTAATAGGCTGGAAATGTTGGCTGTAAATTCTTTGTATGTGGACCTCATGCAGTTTTCTAGATTATGCAATCCTGGTTACGTATTGTAAAAAGAGCACCCTGACATGTAATGCTATAAGAATGTAGACATTTTAGTCACCAGTAAATTCCTACCTTCACATACAGTTCATCAGAAGAATTTTTTCTTTCTAGACTTGACTGAAACTCAGTTTTCCTTCGTTATCACATTGTGAAAGAAATAATCATTTACACACTTGGAGAGTGGTTGAGATTCACTTGCAGTAGGAAAATAAACTTTCTGTTCCCAGCATTGTCTCTCTAGGCCTGAGCAGAGGCAGTCTCTTCCCCACCGCTGCCATCTGCTGGTTTTGTGACGGTTAGATTTTAGAAAAAGCAGTGCATAAAGCTCCAGCCAAGATGATGCAAAATGCAAGGATCATTAGCAGGTAGTTTTGTAGACCCTGCATCAGAAACAGAATAACTTTAATTAAAAAAAATCAAATCTACAAAATGCACAGACTCAAAACTGCTAAGCACCTGCAGGCGTTTTTTCCCTGAAAACCAGCAAAAGCTTTACCAGTTCACCTAGTCAGTAAATACATGGGGCACCCTCTATGTGCCAACATGTGCTGGGGTTAAAATGATGAGCAAAAATGGCATGGCACGTGTCCTTCTGCAGCTAACCTTCCAAGAGACAGGAATTAATCAAGTAATCATATTAAAGAATATTACAAAGTGAGAGGGGTGCTAACTAGCAAAGGAGCACAGTTGTTTGAGAGCATGTTACAAAGAAATATTAACCAGGCTGATTTGAGGGCTGGGGGTTGAGCTTCTAAGTATCAATGAATTAGGCAAGAGAAACAGGGCAGCAGGTAGACATTCTGGGTAGAAGGAATTTTATGTGCAAAGCCCTGTCGGAAGAGAAAGTGTGATACTTCCCAGGGACTGAAAGAAGGCCAGGGTGACTGGGCAATCAGAGTGAAGTGGGGCACGATGGGGTTGGAGGGCTGAGGGGCAGAGCAGACAGCGATTTACAGGCCATGAGTTTTATTTTTCCAAGCTAAGGGAAGATGGTAAAGGAAAGACTGGCTGGGTGTGATGAAAAGATCAGATTTACAGAGTGTAAAGTCCCTGCTCTTTTGCTGGATGTGAACTGATTGGAGTAAGCCAGAGGGGACGCAAGGAAACCAAAGGAGGCAACTGCAGTCCTCCAGGGGATGGATGGTGATGTGCCGATGGAGCGATGAGGCCGATTTAAAGGGTGAAGAAGAACAGAGAGAGGTATGGAGAATGACTTGCCCAGCTACGCATGGAGGTCCTGGTCTCAAAAATGGAAAACCCTGAGGACCGCTTTCCAACGTAGACCAGCCCATTTTTAAATTAACAAAGAAATATCTTCCTGTTTTAAGCAGAAATATTTTCTTCCCTTAAAGTTCTACCTGTGGGAATACAGATGGACCAATTCTAATAGCTCATCCACAAGATGAGCCCTCGAACATTGAAAAATCACTGTCTTCTATCCCCAGAGGTATCTCTTTTTCCGGTCAGTATTCTAGCTCCTTTGATCAGTTGTCATATGGAATGGTATCAGGGTCCCTGTTTTGGTCGCGACTTTGTCTGATCTCTTTTTAAATATAGACCCTTCTACCCATTACTCTGGAGTCCTGGTGACGCAGTGGTTAAGAGCTCAGCTGCTAACCAGAAGGTTGGCAGTTCGAATCCACCAGCTGCTCCTTGGAAACTCTATGGGGCCGTTCTACTCTGTCCTATAGGGTCTATAGGGTCACTATGAGTCGAAATTATCTCCACAGCCACAGGTTTGGTTTGTTTGTTCTTTTTACCCATTATTTTAAGGCAAGGGGTCCTGGTGGTGCAATGGTTAAGCACTCAGTTGCTAATCAAAAGGTTGGCAGTTCAAATTTCAGCTAGCTACTCTGATGGAGCAAGCCTGGGGACCTGGAGATCTGTTTCCAAAAATATTATCCGCTGCCATTGAGTGGATTCTGACTCACAGAGACCCTGTAGGACAGAGCAGAACTGCCCCATAGGATTTCCAAGCCTGTAAATCTTTAGTGAAGCAGATTGCCACGTCTTTCTCCCGCTGAGCAGCTGGTGGGTTCGAACCACCAAACTTTCAGCTAAGTGTGTTAATCTGCCTGTTTGATAACCAGAGATAAGTCTCTGTAAGTTATGCTGGGGCCAATTAAATTTGTTTATCTGATTCACTGTGAGCCTTAGAACTACCAGAAGTCACTCTAATCACAAGTTCTACACGTGAAAGGCAGCACCACACAGCTCAGAGCAGCTTTCTTCATTTCTCTCTCTTTCTCTCTCGTACTTGAATTCTGCAGTAAGGCTCTAAGTTTCTGAACGTCTATTTCTTAGTTTTTAAGACAGTAACCTTTACCTATATACTAGTAGTGGTGCAGAATAGGCACTCAACAAATACGTGCTTAAACAATGAATATAGTCAGCTGTTTTCCAAATGTATATTGTGAAGTAAACAATTGATGCAATTATTTAAATAATTAAAAAAAACCAATATATAGGGCTCCAATTATCAGCACTTTATGACCTAATCATGTGAATACTTTGCTAAGTTTTCTATTTTATTGGCTATGTAGACAGAAGAATAATGTTCTCAGGGAGTCAAATATTTTTTCCACTTTAAGGATAAGAATCTGCCAGAACTGTTAGTCTTTTAGCTAAGTTCTAGATTACTTTAGAGAAAAAAGACTGATTATATTTGGCAAGAGCAACAGTTTTCCTTATAGTCTTGGGGTTCATCTAGGTCAACTGGCATAACATAGTTCATAAAGAAAATGTTCTACATCCTACTTTGGTGAGTAGCATCTGGGGTCTTCAAAGTTTGCCAGTGGCCATCTAAGATACATCTTTTGGTCCCATCCTGTCCGCAGCAAAGGAGAATGAAGAAAATCAAAGACGCAAAGAAAATATTAGCTCAAAGGTCTAAAGGATCACATGTACCAGAGCCTCCACCAACCTGAGCCCAGAGTAACTAGATGGTGCCTGGCTACCACCACCTACCGCTCTGACAGGGATCATAACAGAGAGTCCCAGGCAGAGCAGGAGAAAAATGCAGAACAAAATTCAAATTCATAAAAAACAGACCAGACTTATTGGTCTGACAGAGACCGGTGGAATCCCTAAGACTATGGCACCTGGCCACCCTGCTGACTCAGAACTGAAACCCCTCCCACAGCCCACTTTTCAGACAAAGATTAGACAGGCCTGTAAAACACACAACAACACACGTGAGGAGCGTGCTTCTTAGTTCAGTCAAACACACAAGACCAAATGCACAACTCCTGTCCTAAAGCAAGACGAGAAGGCAGGAAGGGACAGGAACAGGGTGAATGGACACAGGGACCCAGGGTGGAAAAGGAGAGAGCTCTGTCACGATTTGGGGACTGCAACCAATGTCACTAAACAATGTGTGTATAAGCTTTTGGACAAGAAATTAACTTGAGCTGTACACTTTCACCTAAAGCACAATGAAGTTAAAAAAACAAAAAAAGGAGAAGGATGTAGAACAAAATTCTAACTCACAAAAAAAAGACCAGATTTACTGGCCTAAAGGAGACTGGAGAAACCCCGAGAGTATGGCCCCCAGACACCCTTTTAGCTCAGTGGTGAAGTCATTTCCGAGGTTCACCGTTCAGCTGGGGAGTGGACAGCCCCATAAAACCAAATGGGACTAATGAGGTACTGCGGTCCAGGGACAAGGGCCAGAAGGCAGAAGGCGACAAGGAAGCTGGTGATAGGGAACCCAAGGTTGAGTAAGGATAGTGTTGATGTGTAGTGAGGTTGTTAACCATTGTCATAGGGCAACATGTGTACTAACTGTTAAATGAGAAACTGTTTTGTTCTGTAAGCCTTCATCTAAAGTGAGAATAGCAGCACAATTGGAAGAGCATAGTCAATGTCACTGAACTGTGCATGTAGAACGTTTTGAAATGGTGTATCTTTGGCTATGTATATTTTCACCAAAAAAAAAAAAAAAAAATGTCGAGAAGGGAGAGGGTTGACATGTTGTGGGGTTGTTAACCATGTCATAAAACAATATGTGTACTACTGTTTCACGAGAAACTATTTGTTCTGTAAGCCTTCACCTGAAGTACAATAAAAAAAAAAAAACAAAAAAAGGTGAATGTTAAGTTTTGGAAAGATCACGATAACATTCTTGTCAAAGCAAAAAGTTTTTAACTTGGATTTTTGAAGCAGCTACTAAGATGACAGATCATCTCATTCTTCATTTGGAAGTAGCTACTAACCTATAAATATTTGTGGTACTAACTCCCTATGTTGGTATTACTGCAAAAAATTGACTAAAGTGCACTGGTAAAAATATATAATTAATATCCAGCTTAAAGTAACTACATGTAAAATTCTAAAAAAAAAAAATTCCCAAAAAGCAACAGATATCAGATATCAAGAACACCAAAAGTGCAAAGCACCTAACTGTCCTATAGGACAGTTTAAACAAAATCAGTACATTCTTTCGTACAGAAGCTGCCTGGATCTCCGCCTAAATCCTGGCTGCCGCAGGCTGTGCGCTTTTAAATATGTGCCTTCAAGGGCTGCTTCAAGAGACTTAACGGACAGGACCTACAAGTCATAAAGGTAAAGGTTTTGCTGCTGTTTTCTTCTTCGGAGCTTAGTGTTAGAGGGTTTTGTTTGCTTCTAAAAAATATTTTACAAAATTCTGATAGGATTTTGGGTTTAGTGCTTAGTGTATGACTCTCTGTTAAACTTGTTGGCATGCAAAGTATTTAAAGGTTTCCTTTAAATCAGCGGTCAAGAGGCAACTAGGCATCTGTGCTGACAGACTCCTGAGGTGTTTTTTGTTTTTTTTTTAACTCTAGGAAGGTCAATGACTTATTCTTTGCTTTCATCTTGGCCCTCTCTTTCTTTCAATACTTGTAATTGTATCAGAGTCACGTTTTAAAATAGAAAAGAGCAGATAGTCAATTCTAATGTTTAAAAATATTTTATAAGGAAATTGTTCTAGCTAACTTAAATCATACACGTTTGAGAAATATGGGGCAATTTGTGCTGTCATGCTTTAGAATCCACTCTCACAGTTCCAGAAAGAGCTTCCTTTGGATTATATAGGCTTCACACTGGTCGTGAACGGATAAAGCTGACCTAGTTATAATAGTGTGCCACTCATCCATCAGTTGGTCATACTGTTGCCGTGAGATGGATAAAACACTGTTACAAAATACAATTCTCATCTACGCCTCAACTGGAGACTTTTTCACCAATTAAGAAATATGGAAAATGTTCTAAAACAATTTTTAATGAAAATACACACACGCCCACACACACTTCGTGATGAATGCAATTGTAAATTACCATCATTCACACTCACAGAAATGGGGTCTTGGTGGGGGGGAGTGTTGGGATGTTTTAGTTGTCACCTGTTGCCATGATGTTTTCTTACAAAGTTGTTGGTTTGATATGGGGGCCTTCGGAGACATGAAGATCATCAGAAAAACCTATTCCCAAACCCCCTTTGCCTCAGGGATATTTTAACCCTTGTGATAAAAGAATCTTTTGCCTGGCTTCTCTCTCATATTTTGCACTAAACATATTTCCTCCTATCATATTTATTGTATTATTTAACTAAAATTACTGAATGAAAATTAAAGTCAACTAAAGCATTTTTTTTTTAACTGGGGGCAAAGGTAGGGAAAAACATGATGTTTCATAATAATTCTCATAAACCAAAAAAACAAAACGCGTTGCTGTCGAGTCGGTTCCGACTCGTGGCCACCCCATGTGTGCAGGGTAGAACTGCTCCATAGGGTTTTCAAGGCTGTGATCTTTCAGAAGCAGATTGCCAGGCTTTTCTTCTAAGGCACCTCTGGAGTTTGAACGGACAATGTTACAGTTACCATTTGTGCCAGCCATGAACTCCAATAATTAGCGTAGCTCTAGTATTTTCTTTCCTAATTAGAGACAACATTTTGAACATTTGACCTATCAAATCCATTCGTGTGTTATCTGTGCCTGGCTTAGGAGTCACATGCAGTAGTCAGAAATAATGCAAACATAATATTAAATACCCATCTGCTTGGATTTACTCTGTTTTCTAAATTTGCCCTTTCTTGTACGTACCTGTATTTCCTTAAACATGAAGACACCCCACATTGCAGCTATCAATCCTGGACCCTTAAATAAAAATAAAAACTTTAATTAAGTTGTATATTTTTCTATGAATGTACTGTATGTAAATATAGTAAATTGAAGAGCTAACTTATCAAGTAACTGGCTATTGGAAAAGCAATATAACAATACTTTCAAGGAAAACTACTCATAATCTCAACCTTAACATTAAATATCACATGAAATAACATTAAATAAGAGAAATGAAGCCTTCATTTTCCTTCACAGTCTCCACTTTTATTATTTTGATGGTGCTATAATATTTTGTGCCAGAACATGCTTTTCCTTAATGTATTTATATAAACAATATTGTAATGATTGTGGTGTGATGGATCACTTTGTGTGGCCTTTCTAGACATGGTCTTGTAACTCCCACCCAAGTGATTCGGGGGGGACTGTGGAAATAAACTACTTGTGGCCCACCAAGGGGATTGGTCAGTTTTGCCATCCCGCTAGGCTTGGGGTGAGTACTCCACAGGCAGGAGGGAGAGAAGATCCCACCACCACCGAGGAAGAACAGCCGGGAGCCAGCACATCATATGGACTTGGAATCGCTGTGGTGAGAAGCTCCTGGAAACTGGGGACAGAGAGAGAGAGAGAGTTGTAACACTGAAGGCAGGGGAGAAGCGGAGGCAGAGACCTGGCAGCAGAGACCTAGGAGCAGGAGACTGCGTGGTGGGCTTCCTGCCACAGAGAGAGACAGCAGAGTGCTTTGGGGCCAAGGGCCAGGACCAGGGAGAGGCATGCTTGTGAGCATGGCTGGGAAGAGGCTGTCCTGATGGAAGAACTGTATCCTGAGTGTTTCTGAGCCTGAATTGTAAGTGGTACTTCCCTAATAAACCCCATAATCGTGAGTATTGACTGTGAGTTCTGTGTGGCCATTGTAATGACTTATCGAACCCAGCAGAGAAGTAGAGAGTGCCGTGGGAGGGGCGGTTGCTGTCAGAATTGGTAAAGACGGCAAAGAGAGGAGGCATGTCTGACCTTCGCCTCATAGAAATCAGCCTTGGGCTGTTGATCTTGATTCTTCTCCCCTTGTGAAGTCAGAGGAGGTCAGACTCCGCCTCCGTGCCATTTTTACAGTTGGTGTGAGAAGCAGGATTCTTTGCAATGACTCCAGATTCATGGAAGCATGGAACTTTGTAAGAGAAAGAACAAAGGGGCTTGGGAAGTGAAACTTTTGATTCTTAGACCTTTACTTTGGTGGTTGTTACCTGTAACAGCTGAAAAGCCCCAGCTGAAGTGGCCTCGGGCAAAAACCAGGCCAGATGAGTGAGATGATTTACAGGGGCCCAAAGTCCACTGGTTCCACCCGGCCAGAGGCCCAAGGCCATAAATATGCATATGAATGGGAAGATAGTTCAGGTGTGGAGAAGAGAAAATGAAACTGGAATGTTTTAAAAAAGGATTATGTGTTTATCTGAATGTATTATGGATACTGAATGTTTCTCCTACCAGGTGTTGTAAAGCAGACCTGAATGTATGATAGAAACGAATACTGGGTATTATAAATTACAGAGAGCACGCAACTCTGCCTTCAGCCCACACTGGATTGGATATGCGAAAAGAGAAGCTAGAGTTTGCCCAGGAGAAACACAGGCTTTTTGTTCCAAGCCTGTAGTCCTGTGTATACAGAGTGGGGGTTTAGGTGGAACACCTGAGGCGCACCCACATTTTGCATTTGAAAAAACATGCAGAATCACCTGGAACTGCTGAGAGAACAGAAGATTTGCATTTGAAGGAAGGACCTGCAGCAAAAAAAAAAAAAAAAAAAAGAAGAAAGTGTTTTGCTCTTTGAATTTTGAGCAAATGGTTTGCTGTTGGATGAATCGAGGCAGGAAAAGTCAGTGCCCATCAGAAGGAACCCTCTTCCAGGACTGGAAGTTCAAGGGAGCCAGCGAGTAGACAGCTTGGCCTGCTCACTCGTGGTGATCAGCTGGGTCCACTTAGTGAGCGAAAGTGGGGAAGTGCAGCAATGAAGAGGCTGAGTTTGGACATGTTCCATTGGCACCTGCTGACCTAGTCCACCTGGGCTAGGGATGAGAGAGAGAGGAAGGGCTGACTGGTCAGAAGTATAAGGAGTTGCGTGTGGACTCCTAAATTTATGGGTGGAAACCACTGACCTAGCCCAAAGGGGCTGAGGTTGAGAGTGTGAAGGGGCTGTCTGAAGTGCCTGGAGGTGTGTGTGAACTCTCGAGCCTGAGGCTGCTACCCATTGTGACCTAGCTTTGATGGCTAGGGATGAGCTGACCAGAACCTGATAGAATGAAGAGGAAGATATTTGACACCGTGAGCTGCTGTAGATTGTGGTAATTTGATGGCTTGCTCTGGTCTGGACTCTGCTTATGGATGCAAGCGCTTAAAGTCCCAAAGTGAAGAGAAGATTCTTCCAGACCAAGGAACATGCTCGTGTCCTCAGTGCTGGTTTGATAGGGATGGGCAATTTAAACACTGGCTATCTAAAACAGGGGGCAGATAAAGGCATGGCTATCTAAAATGCGAGGGGTGGGGGGCTGGCACATAAGGTCATGAAATAGCTGGCTTACATGCTTTCATGGGTATGCTTACATTCAAAATGAGGGGGACAAGGGAGGACCCCACTGAATAGATTCCTCTTTTCCTGATGTGTCTGGGGAAGAGAGGGTGGGGGGAGACGCTGACAGGATTATATGATTCAGTTGTGAGTGTCGATTGTTAACAGGGTTAATTGTGATGGTAAAAACTGTAACTGTAGAAGCTATAAGTGTGAAAGTGTGGACTAAGGGGGAGGCACTGCTGGACTGGAGTACAGTGGCCGAATCTAAAGTCCCTTAAAGGTTTTTCGATGCTGAACCTCGTGGCGTTGTGGTTAACAACTACATTTGCTAACCAAAAGGTTGGCAGTTCGAATCCACCAGGTGCTCCTTGGAAACTCTATGGGGCAGCTCCACTCTGTCCTGTAGGGTCACTAAGAGTCAGAATCGACTTGATGGCAATGTGTTTGGGTTTTTTTGGGATACTGCTGATCCCTTGTGAGGCTCAGAGGAAGGGAATAATATCCTCTCAGTTAAATGTTATCAGCGGCCAGAAAAGGTGAAGCTGAGATGACTTTTGGAGAACCTGACAAGATCAGATGGAAACCCGCAGCAGGCCTGAATAGCTGGTGCCTGAGTAACCTCACGGTTAGGACTCTTTTGCCCTGTTGAAGGGTTAATTGTTAATGACTGTTTTGGACTGGTGAAATGATTGGGAGGGGGAAGTTATCCTCCAAGTATGAAAGAACCATGGCCAGAAAAGCCAGGGGGTGGTCTGCGGTACGATGGATCACTTTTGTGTGGTCTTTCTAGCCATGCTCTTGTAACTCCCACCCAAGTGATTGGGTAAGACTGAAAATAAGATAATTATGGCCCACCAAGAGGATTGGTCAGTTTTGCCATCCTGCTGGGCTTCAGGTAAGCCACTCTAGAGGCAGGAGCGAAAGAACAGCCCACCAAGGAAGAACAGCAAGGAGCCAGGACATCCTTTGGACTCGGGATCCCTGTGCTGAGAAGCTCCTGGAACCCGGAGACAGAGAGAGAGAGCTGTAACACTGAAGGCAGCGAGAAGCTGAGGCAGAGACCTCGCAGCAGAGACCTGGCAGCAGGAGACGGCTTGGTGGGTTTCCTGGCCCATGGAGAGAGACAGCTGAGTGCTTTTGGGCTGAGTTCAAGGGCCAGGGGGAGGCATGCCTGCGAGCATGGCTGGGAAGAGACTGTCCTGATGAAAGCATTGTATCCTGAGTGTTCCTGAGCCTGAATTGTAAATGGTACTTCCCTAATAAACCCCATAATTGTGAGTATTGTCTGTGAGTTCTTTGTGGCCACTGCTATGAACTATTGAACCCTGCAGAGAAGTAGAGAGTGCCGTGGGAGGGATGGTTGGTGTCAGAATTGGTAAAGATGGTAGAGAGAGGAGGCACATCCGACCTTCGCCTCATAGGAATCAGCCTTGGGATGTTGATTTTGAATCTCCTTCCCCCTTGTGAAGTCGGAGGAGGTCAGACACTGCCCCCACACCATTTTTACAGCGATCAAATAGCTTATTTTTTCTATTGAACTAGTTTCTTAGGATAATTGAAAAGGGATTAATAAGAAAAACTATATGAACAAACTTTTAGCTTTATTTGGTATGAGATAATCTCACAACTGAAGAAATTTTAGTATGTTCTTTTGGGCCTGCTAATTAATGTGTTGGAGCCCTCATGGCTCAGTGATTAATAAGAGCTATGGCTGCTAACCAAAATGTTGACAGTTTGAATCCACCAGCCACTCCCTGGAAACCCTATGGGAAAGTTCTTCTCTGTCCTGTGGGGTCACTAGGAGTGGAAATCCATTCAGTGGGAACGGGCTTGGTTTCTTTGAATTAATGTGTGCGTATGGAAGTAGCACATCCATTTTATTTATTTATTTTTGATAGATACCGCTGTGGAGTAATCAACTACGTCTTACATTACAAACTAATTAAAACCAAGTATGTTATTTTGGGAAGACAGAAAAACCATGTAAGGGAAAACAATAATAACAGGGGTTAGAGGGCAGGAGACCAACACAAGAATAAAATAATATAGGACAAAGGAAATGGGAAAAAATGAGATGAAGAAAAAGATGATTCTACAATTCGAAAATGATAAGCTATTCAGCTCAGTGTTCATTTTTTTTTTAGCTGAGAAGGAAAAGAAAATGGAAATCGGATTGATCTGGGCCTTTGCAGAGAAGGTGTGTTGTATCAGCATTTTTATGATTGCTTCTCAAGCCCTGCATGAACTATGGAAGAGTTTCAGATAAATAATTCCAAAATGTTTCTTCCCCTTCCACTATTCCAACTGTCTAAATGACCGGGCTAACAAAGTCTGACTTCATTCCTGGCATGCAAGCAAAGCAGTAAAAATACATTAGCTCCCTGTTTATCAGCCTCTGGAAAATTCAACACCAAAAGACTCAGAGAAATAGGTCAAAGGAGCTGCCTTTTACCAACAACATAAGGTCCTCTGCCTCAAAATCAAAATCAAACGAGAAGCAGCTGAGTCTTTTCGGCACCCCCACCCTGATTTACGAAGGAATGGGAGCAAACAATGAAATAGAGGACATAATGGTAATGCCATCATGCAAATCTCTCAGGATATTTTTTCTTTTTAATCTGTTATTGGAAGACAATACTAAAAAGTATCATTGGACTTTGAAGAGTTTTGTTGGATAGTTTTCTAGTTTAGACCTGGTCTAAGGGTTATTGGAAGGAGTAAAATGGCTACAGGTAATGATGCTTTGCCAAAAGTAATGCAAGCATAGGTCAAAGTGATACAGGCTCTCTGCTTCAGACTTTGTTGTAAGTCTTTATCAAAACCCAAGATAAGAAACAGTCATAGGACAACTGTTTCTCTATGTACTATTAACATTTGTGAAGAATATCATTTGTTGTTTAATATCCCCTGTTCAATGACCTCACATAATAAATTCTGTTGACAATTTAGGGCTGGAAAAGAATTGGTCTTTTCTGAGGAAATAATGTGTTACTAGTTAATAAGAATTAGCTGTGCCATCATATTACCCTTTTGGAAGCATCAGGCAAAATTTCATGTTTACTCACAGTAACTGTTCTCTTTTTGTGCTGGTTGCTTCCTTTCTCATGCTTGTCATGGCTTTGACTTTCTATCTGCATTTGGATTTCTATTTGTGTTATGTAGCCTAATTCTATATGTGTATTTTATATTAAATTTCCTCAAGCCCTTTCTGGAGGACCCACACTTGTTCAAGAATATAACGATTAAAAGAAGAAAAAATTACCACCACATAATAAAGTTTAAATTTGGTGCAACAGTTAAGCACTCGGCTGCTAACCGAAAGGTTGGTGGTTTGGAACCACCTAGAGGCTCTGCAGGAGAAAGACCTGGTGAACTGAACCCAGAAAGATTACAGCCTAGAAAACCCTATGGGGCAGTTCTGCTCTGTCACATGAGGTCACTATGAGTCAAAATCGACTCAAGGACACCTGTCAACAACAATAACTTGATCTACTTTAATAAATACTATTCCTCCCTTTGTAGTGGGTTTTAACGCTGTCATATGTTTGTGGCCCCAGTGGCACAGTGATTTTAAGTGTTTGGCTGCTAACCAAAAGGTCGGCAGTTTGAATACACCAGTTGCTCCTTGGAAACCCTAGGGGACAGTTCTGCTCTGGCCTATAGGGTCGCTATGAGTCAGAATCAACTTGATGGCAACGGGTTTGTTTTTTTACTCAGGAGCATATCATACTATACACTGTTCTCTACAGATTTATTTTCGAGTATTTAACTGGTGAATTTTATACCATTCTCCAGTATATTTACCTATGTTTTATGGTCAGTTCTAACATTGAATATCCTTAAAATGATGAGGAACAAATCCCTTCTTGGAAACAATTTGAGTCCTTTGCCATTCTGACTACAAGGACCTTGGACTTAAAGAAATTTCTTATAACTTCCTTTATTTTGAAAATATTTTCCCTCAGCAGATATTAAGAAAGTCAAAATGTGGGCTGTTTAAATTAAAAAAAAAACAAAAAAAACTTTATTTGAATTTAATTGCATTTGAAAACTATTTTATGAACATAGTACAAATGTCAAAAATTTATTGTTTTGAAACCCAGAATTTATATTAAACATTAAAGATTTTTGACTTTTATCCAATGTGTTTTAGACTAGAGAATGTTTAAAAAAAAATCAGTTTTCTAGCTTTGCACAGCTGTGCCACTCAATTTTTTTAGGCCACTTTTGTTTGTGGTAATGATTTAGGCAGCAGAGGACACGGGTGAACCACTGGTCAGCAACTGAACACATCTAGAGGAGACGTAAGAGCCCAAGCATTAAAGCAATTCCTGGGTGTATATACGTCAGTCGTAGTCCCGCGATGAACTTAGAACAAACTCTAACTTGCATTTCATACTGATGAAAGAGAGTAGCACCTGTCCTGGAAACTTTTGAACTCAGAAGTCTTGAGATGTCCACTAGCTATGTGACCTTAGATAATCCTCTTAGCTGACGAGTGCCTCAGTTTTCTCATCTTCATAATGGGGAGAATGCCTTTGTCAAAGGATATATATTTTTTAGTTTTCTTTTGCCTATGTGTCACATAATTGGCACCTAAAAAAGTCAGAAGAAGCAAATTGTACTTCCCATGTCATGATAAATAGCATTTTCCAGAGACAATACCTTAAAAATATCGAAGTACCATTTCGAGGGAAGTCTGAAGTACTTTCTATCTCCCAAGGCTGCTCTGAGATTCCAGTGTGATGGTACACACAACACAATTTTATATTTATAAACTGTTATGCAAATAAGGATTAATAGTCTTATAGATAGAAATTATAATGTATCCAAAATGACTCCAGGTAAAATAAGAAAACAAAAAAAGTGCCAGGACATTAAAGATTACAGATGAACAAACCTACTAATCTGAGGTGAGAAACGGTCCTTAGCAATCAAAGGTATGAGGATTACAGATTGTCAGTTTATCTACTTGACTCTATTAATAATAACTGTACTCCTAAATAATCAAAATCAATGACAGTCTTTAGTGATTCAAGAATGCTTCAGAAAAATTAGATTTACATTGAAAAACAAAAAAATGGGAAAACACCATTTGGCTACTTACGGCAGTAATTATCGGAAAACTGACCACAGCACTTAGAGAGTGATTAGCGATGAACCAGCAACAAGTGGCTATTGCCCAAAGTGTTCCTGACAGGAATCCTGAAACACAGTCAGACATAACACGCTTACAAACCACGTCTCTCCTGACAAAGTCACACTGTAGATACACTGGGAATATTAGCGTTC